CCCCCCCCCTTTTTATAATAGATTTCCAGAAATTCTCCAAAACTTCTAGTCTACTCGAAAATTCGCGATATCTCGCAGCCGTCTTCCCGAGGCCTACGAGGCGGGAAGTACACAAACGGAAGGGAAGTGCGTCGTTATACGTTTCTATATCCATGAGATAAAAACAAATTATATATAATGGTATATGTGATAGTATATAATACTGGAATTATTATGGATATTACCTAATCCAACCCATATTAAAAGTATTACAAAAAATAAAATGAAAGACATATAACATGAAAAAACTAAAGGTTTCACACAAGCGTGGATTCGATCCTGCGTCTAAAAACACCCATTGATTTCGAGGCTAAAGTCCTACCGTTTTCGCCAATAATGCTGTTGCAGTATTATTTTACGTTTATGAATATAAGCAGATACAACGTAAACTGAATATCAGCAGATACGACGTAAAATTAATAAATGTGGTTTTTCAATTTTTACAACTAGAATTTGCAACGTAAAAATCTGGAAAAATTCTATAATATGCGCTATGTGAATCTCAATGTTTTAGAATTTTTGCAGAATTTTTGTACGAAATTAAAGAAGTAAAATAGGCCAAATCCGAAATTTCGTTTTTTCCCTTTTACTGCCCCCATGGTTGAGATAGGGGGTTAAAACTTGTTGTGAGATGTCTTTTTTCCGATATGCTATCGACTGATGTATGGGATGTTTCATTTCGTTCAACTGCATTTTCGGTCATCCCCTCCCTCTTTCCTCGTGTTGCGCTCGCTAGAATTAGGAAACTTAGCTCGAGCCCGTATTTCTAAAATTTGCTTGACGTCTAAAAATAGATTGATAGATATGGCAACAGCGTAACAATCCGGCAGCGATGCCTTCGCGTCCTTTGTCTGTCAAAAGTTGGTTGGTAATAGGAATAGGTGGCTAATAGAGTTTAGATATATTTGTAGATCTAGTCGATAGATGATGCAACGCGAGTTGTCTAGTTTATAGATTGTTTATTTCTAGTATTCTCCGCTCATAGACATCGTCGTTTCGATCGATTCGGAGATGAGCCAAAACGGGATCCTGCCCTTAAAATGTTAAGGCGTACGTCAATTTGAGCGCTTTTATCTGTGCTTTGTTGGTCAGGTAAAGAATGGCACTAAAATGGTAAAACGTATTTTTTCGAATACTAGTTGGTGAGAACGTAGCACAATGAAGTCAATGTGGCGTCTCACTAGCAGGTTAACAAAGGTAAAAATGCTTTACATACGCATAATTTAAGGGGTTAAGTGAGTTTGGAAATTTCAGAAAATCGATTTTTTTTTTTATCTTATTAAATAGTACAATGTGTCTAGAATATTCTCCCAAAATTTTAAATCGATTGGAGTAAAATTCAAAGAGATAGACCCTTCGGAAGTTCTGCCCGACAGGCCACGTTAGCCTGGCATGACGCAAGTTTATTGAAGCAGCTACGTAGCTATTGTTTGTCTGTCTTTCTTACTTGTTTTCTTTTTCTAAGGGCAACTAGTTTTAAATATTTTAGTTGTGTAGACATTATTTATAGATTTAAGAGACGTTGGATATTGAAGGTTTACTATAGCAGCAATAAAAGACCAAGAAACCGTTGGTTCGGTACTCTTCAATATGCAGTTATAGACTTTTTTTTAGTTTTTTCTACGCTATCGATTTTTGTGAAGTGCTCGAATGTAATAAATGAAAATGGAGAAGACAAAGTGTGCAATGGTAAAGTGAATTTTAAACAGTGTGTTAAACTTGGCCGAAACAGCCATGAGTATGCCCGAAAAGAGGACGAGAATCACATACTCATAGCTGAGAAAAAAGCCGACACTGGGACTCAAGAAGCTAGGATCTAGATATTGCCGCTGCAGCAGGTTCCTTACTTTATGGTGCCCGAATCGATGATTCTATGTAAGTTTAAAAAAAAAAATTTTTCTGCATGTTATTTCAACTTAAAACTTCAATCGCGTTTTTCTCGAAACTTTATTTTTGAAGTCGGTGGACATGATTTCTCAAAAAGTTATGAACCGATCTTGTTCAAATTTTGCACACTTCTTCAAAATAACATTATCTAGTACTTGAACGAAGGATTTTTGTTTCTTTTTACCACAACTTATTTTACGAGGAAATACGTGGTGAAAATGTGACCAAAAAATGAAACTTTTTGTTCATAACTCCACCAAACCAAAACTTCTAATTTTTTTTTTTTTTTTTTTCCTTCGTTCAAGTACGAGCTTTATATACCTGCTAACAGAAACTATATTGTTTTTTAATTTCAGATGAACCAGTCAAGAGTTATCGTGTCCACGCCGAGAGACCTTTTTTTTGAGAGATCAACGGAAATGAGGTCCCAATGACTGAATATTCAACATTT